CTCACTGTCAGGAAATTTCTCCTCAGTTCTAAGTTGCTTCTCTCCTTGATTAGTTTCCACCCATTGCTTCTTATTCTACCCACGGGTGCCTTGGAGAATAGTTTGACTCCCTCTTCTTTGTGGCAATCCCGGAGATATTGGAAGACTGCTATCATGTCTCCCCTAGTCCTTCTTTTCATTAAACTAGACATACCAATTGCTGTGATCCTTCTTCATATGTGTTAGCCTCCAGTCATCCTTTTTTGGTTCTTGAATTGTAGAAGTCTGCTTGGTTCAGGCACATTTTTTTTTTAAAGAAAGCTCAATTGCCCTGCAAATTTGAGACAGTGGAAGAAAACAGCTAATGCAAAAATAGTGTTGGTTTTCTGATGTTTGTATAATTAAGATTTATTATGAGTATCATACTTGAAGCTATTAATTATTATTATTGCCCTTTGTTGAATTATTTATAAGTAGTACTTTCATAAATTATAGATATAAACATGGATAAAATAGGAACTTCATATCCTAAATAAATGTTTATTGACCAGTACATAATGGAAAGACCCGTATTGTTCTTTGACGCTAGAAAATTAGGGAATTAGTAATATGAATATCACTTGGCTTCGGTTATCTAATGATTAGCTGAGAATTTTTGTATGACTGATTTGCCACATGAACAAGAGCATCCAAATTATTTAAACTAATAAGAATATTATTGCTCGACTCTTATTATTTAAGCGTTTGTATGATTTATATATTCAATAGCAACTGTGTCTGCAGTTTTCCATGGCGTATTATTAGTCTCTTATGATGAAAATGTCTTTGCTTTTCTCCCATCTCAAGGGAACCTAATTTAAATATGAATACAACCCAAAAAAAGTATTAGAAACTGAAAGTAATAACACTCATTTGAAAGAAAAAGAGACTTGTAAAGCAGTGATACAACTTGCTTTTAAAAAATTGGGATAAGTATAATAAGAGTAACAAGACTCTGGTTACCATTCAGCTCATTGAGCTCCCCTAAGTGTCAGCGTTCCAATTATTATGCGAAATTAAATCAGAGCTCAAGACATAACTTTCATCAAAGTTCCAATTTAAGAAGATGGACATGCTGGCACATCTGTGGAATCCCAAATCTAAAAGCTTCCTGGGATTCCACCCAGTTGAAAGTTCATGATCTAATCCCCACACCCATA